TCTTTCCTCCCAAAACCTTATTCGTCTCACTACCCGTTGTCAATGTTCCTGTGATGCTATAATTTGTTTGGGATGGAGATCAAGAGGCGATGAAAGGGAAGCGCCTGGATGTGTTCTCGAATTTGCCTAATAACGGCCAGAGCGTTGGTGAAACCGAGACTGCTGAGGGGACCCCTGCAGGAGTAAATAAATCCTCCAGAGAGAGTCGAACTCAGAACCAAAACCCACTTCAGTAGAGTTCATCCAAGCTGTGGTCTGATCACCGCAGTCTGCTGCTTGGGCTGTCGAGAGTTAAACTCAAATACATCTTAACACATGAAGCACCCTACTCCGCTGTCCAGAATGTGGGCGAGGTCATCTAACATTAACACAAACTCTGCAACTACCAACAAAAGCTGAGGTTTTGACATTCCGTTAATTAAACGTGTTCAAATGAATGCACCTAAAATTCAGCATACCTTGCTTCCTATGTAACATTCTCTTTGCATAACCACTGGTAATTGTGCTGGACTGGTTCGGTCTAAGATGGATTTGCAGTGGGGAATAAGGAATATCTGGACGAGATTCAGAGTGAATGAAAAACGCATTGATGTGTAAACATATTCTAGAGATTCTGAATGGATAGGATGATTATTAAATAAAAGAATGCCTGGGTAATGGGGTGGATGGAGAATAGGGGACGGAGGGTCAGGCGAGTGTGCTAATTAGGACAACAAATTGTTAGGAAAGCTGGATTCACGAAATTACAAGCTATGGCTTACACATAGTAGACCCAGAAAATGTCTGCAGTATGTCGCACATTTTACTTTTCTTCCAGACTCCTTCAGGGGAACACATGTCCATTTCTCAACTGCACAGGATGACGAAGATACACTAATGGAAGTTCTCACCTTCGGAACTTTGGTAAAAAAGAATTAATCAAGGAAGTAGTCTAAAAGTCAGACGATTTTTCAAAATACGAATTCAATGGCCCCCAGATCCACTTTGAGATGAGAAAAGTTTCTGCGTGAAAAACCAATCTGTAGCGAGGACTGATGATTTGACGGACTTGAAACCGCCACAGTCGTCTCTAAAAGCCTAACACTATCTATATGTTTGCAGACAAAGCTTATAAACTTTACCGTGGAAAGAAATCCTTCCCTCATCACACAATGCAATGATTGGTCCTTCAATAGCACTAGGTAAAGTAGGTAGAGTCTTGATCTCTCTTACCCTTCAACAATGCCTAACACCTGCATTTATATTACCTCACCTATCTACAAAACCTTGAATGGACGATTATTACTTACAAAATCGGTGACACGAAGAGGATTGAATCAAGTCGGCAATCTCGCTACGAACCAGTGTTCATATCGCCCA